AAACAAACTGTTCATGAAAAACATCACATTCCTACGCTTAATGAAATTATGAACTAATCTAATAATTTTTGCTTTGAAAAAAGAAAAAAATGGATGAAGATTCTTTGTTTCTCACCACATAATGTGGGTGTTATATCAAAGGATGGTGCTCAACTTGTGTGCTGCGGGTCAGGCGATGTCTGATTCTGGAAAGCGACCGCATTGTCATTTTGGCCTTTTGGTTATAAACTTGATGGATTGGGGATACAGAAGAAATTAACTTGTCTACAATTTATCAGCATGCCTTTGAAATTTCTAGTGAGAAGGTCTGATAGTTGTAAAAAATAAGCTTGATTATAGATGGTTGTATAAACTAAGCTTATCTTTTAACCCATTATAATCATCAAATTGGAAAGGATTTTTTGATTATAGATGCATTCACGAGGCAAGTTCTTTCATAGAGACTCTAGTATCTTTTGCGCTGATTGAGTTAGTTTGGCTTGAATTTGTTTGATTTAGTGTGAACAAGGCCGGCTTATCTTGAATCTCATTCTGGATATTTGGTATACAAGATGATTTGTTTAAATTTTAATTTTTTAAACGAAAAAAATTTAATTTTTAAACATGTACGTAATTTTTTTTGGGAATTGAGCCAATTAAAGGGGTTCACATCACATTTTGCTATTTTGGTTTAGTAAATTGAAATAACAAGGAAATTTTTAGTTAAGATAAATGTATATCTTTATAACCACCTAGTTCGTGCATTTTGCTATTTTTGTTTCTTTCTTCTGTTGTTGGCTCTCTTTTGGCTGTTTTTTTTTTCCTTTTGGTTGGTGTGGTTTCTCAATTGCAGGGCTATGTCATTTTGGCTTTGGATTTGTCTGTTGGTTTGGCTGCTCGGTTGGGGATGGTTTTGGTCAAAGGCTGGGCTGCGGGGTTTGATTTGGGGTCGGCTGAGGTGCTCTCTCTAGTGGGAGGTCGATTGCTGGTGGTAGGTTGTTGTTCTTTTTTGCCTATTTCTTTTTTGTTTCCTTCCCTCCACATTGTTGTTCTTTTTTGTCTATTTCTTTTTTGTTTCCTTCCCTGCACGTTGTTGTTGCCTGGAGCTTTCGTTGTGTTGGTCTTGGCTTCTTTCAGGTATCCCTCGTAGCAGGTTGATGTTTGGTGGTTCTTGTGCTTCAATTTCGGTGGCTAAGGTTCTTCTTACTGATTTCTTAAGACGTCTTGCAATTCGTTTGCTTGCCTTGTTGGTTCATTTTCTTTTGCTTATTTATTGTAATAAGTAGAACCATTTGGTCGTACGTTTTACTTAAAAGGTTCTATTTTTAAAGAGCTTTTGGTTCTTTAAGGACTTGTAATTTTATTTTTAATTTAACGCATAGGCTTCTACGTGAATTTTATCCCTAAAAAAGCACAGATAAAGAATCTTTATATAGAAATTGCACACTTCACATAGGCCCCTATGTGAATTATATATACACAAGAATATCATGTAAATTATAATGAGTATAAAAATTATTAAATTTATTTTGAGATTAATATTATAGATGAAAACTTTATATTATATTAATCTTAAACTAAATTTCATAATTTTAAATTTCTTCTGATATAAATTATATTGAAATATATTTTCACAATTATTTTTCTTTTGCATTACCAAATTGAGATGTAATATAAATAAACCATTTCATCTTTTGGATATTTTGTCCATGTTTTTAAATTCAGACGTGCCACATCACCCAGATACACTGGGATCCGGTATATTTTGGTAACGTGACGCATCCGAACACCGGACGTAATAATTTGCCGTAATTAACCCCTCCCTTTGATTCAGTGATGTAAGCAATAACATTTGCTGAGTTCGCAAATGACACCTTGTGATGTAAGCCAAATGCAAACTTTTGTATAAAGTTCGCATATAGGCTATCGATGTTTCGCAGAATATCACAATACAGTAAGGTTAGTCTACTTCTATGGTAACATAAAGGATTAAGCAAGCAGTGATAATAATGATAATAATAAGATGATGATGAAGTAAAAAATATATATAATTTAATTCATAAGAAAATAAATATTAACAAAATATATACGATATACATAATAATAACGCAATTTTAAAATAATATAAATATAATTTAAAAACATAAAATTTAATGAGCTATTAAGAGGCTATTTGGTTTGTGAAAAGAAAAGTAAAATCAAATACTACGTAAAAAAAATGTGATGCATTTAAAATGTTTGAAGTTATTTTGATGTGTGCAAATTAAATGCTTGTGATTACTTTCTTTTACTTTGTTTGAAATTAGTTTGATGTATGTAACTCATATTGATATGTTGGTTCATAGCTTTTTTAAATACATTAGTATGTTGTGGTTGCGATAATAGTAAAATCAGTATGTTTTGGTTGCGGCAATAGCAAAATCAGTATGTTGTGTATTTGAAATTTGATTGAAAAAAAGCCAAGTTTAGAATAATAAATCAACAAATAACTATTTTGAATGCACTACATTTACTTTACACTGTATTTATTTTACACTGCGTTTACTTTGCAGGCAACCAAATAGCCCCAAAGTGAATTTAAAATTCACAAAACTTTTAGGCTTCATTCTTTTTTCATCAACTCAAATGCCAAAAATTTTAAAATCCCAACTTTTAAAATTCTCTTAATTACTTTTTCAACAAACCAAACAGTCCACAGGAAAAAAAAAATCAGATATCATAGGATAATAAAAATATATATAAGAGGCAATTATGGATCACCCCTTTTTTTTTTATAAACAAGGTTTAAATTAGTTGTCAGAAAATTATCTTATGAGCTAATTTTAGAGCTACATGCATTCTTAAAACATCCTTTTTTATTAAAAAAAAATCAGAAATTAAATTTTATTCAAATACGATGCACCCATTATCTGATAATTTTCTGTCAAATGTGAAGCCCTCAAAGCTCACACAACTTGGTGGAGCCAACCACTAGTGGAAAATGTGGCGTGTCCTTCAATTATTGAAGAAAAGGCCAATCGAAAAAGCATGATACCCAATGATGCTTTGTTTGGTTGTGGGAGAGCACGGGTGGGTACCTCTCATACCGGATTCGATCTTCTCCGGCGGCAGCGCTCCTTCGGTG